TTCAACATTGTAGTTGTTACTGGTTCTACGGTTATCATTGTTCTACATTAATGGAAAGTCTCTTCAACATGGTGGTTGTTACTGGTTCTACAGTTATCATTGTTCTATATTAATGGGAAGCTTTTCAACATGTTAATTGTAACTAGTTCTACAATTATCATTGTTCTACGTTAATGGGAAGCTTTTCAACATGGTAGTTGTTACTGATTCTACAATTATCATTGTTCTACGTTAATGGAAAGGTTTTCAACTTGGTAGTTGTTACTGGTTCTACAGTTATCATTGTTCTACATTAATGGGAAGCTTTTCAACATGTTAATTGTAACTGGTTCTATAGTTATCATTGTTCTACATTAATGGAAAGCTTTTCAACATGTTGATGGTTACTGGTTCTACAGTTACCATTGTTCTACATTAATGGAAAGCTTTTCAACATGTTGATGGTTACTGGTTCTACGGTTATCATTGTTCTACATTAATGGAAAGCTCTTCAACATGGTAGTTGTTACTGGTTCTACAGTTATCATTGTTCTACATTAATAGAAAGCTTTTCATCATGGTAGTTGTTACTGGTTCTACAGTTATTATTGTTCTACATTAACGGAAAGCTTTTCATCATGGTAGTTGTTACTGGTTCTACAGTTATTATTGTTCTACATTAACGGAAAGCTTTTCAACATGGTAGTTGTTATTGGTTCTACAATTATCATTGTTCTACATTAATGGAAAGGTTTTCAACATGGTAGTTGTTACTGATTCTACAGTTATCATTGTTCTACATTAATGGAAAAGTTTTCAACATGGTAGTTGTTACTGGTTCTACAGTTATCATTGTTCTACATTAATGGAAAGGTTTTCAACATGGTAGTTGTTACTGGTTCTACAATTATCATTGTTCTACATTAATGGAAAGGTTTTCAACATGGTAGTTGTTACTTGTTCTACAATTATCATTGTTCTACGTTAATGGGAAGCTTTTCAACATGGTAGTTGTTACTGATTCTACAATTATCATTGTTCTACGTTAATGGAAAGGTTTTCAACTTGGTAGTTGTTACTGGTTCTACAGTTATCATTGTTCTACATTAATGGAAAGGTTTTCAACATGGTAGTTGTTACTGGTTCTACAATTATCATTGTTCTACATTAATGGAAAGGTTTTCAACATG